TGTGTGTGTGTGTGTGTGTATGTGTGTGTGTGTATGTGTATTGAACTGTGAGGCTTTAAGTAAAGATTATTATTGGTTGCTAAAATCGTTTATTGTGTAGATAATGTATAGTTGATAGGAAAGATTTAAAATATTTATTTTGAAATAATGAATGTAAAATTGCGATCATATTCTTATTTAGTGATAATATTTTGAATAAATGGTTCAGTAGTGCTAATACCTAATAGAGGTTATTGTATGGTACAAATGGGGAAAAAGTTGTGAATTTTAAGAAGAGAAATATGATGAGACAATTATGATGAGTTCTTTATTTGACTGAAGACATTAAAATATAAAACTTTCATTCGATTAATTGAAATCAACTCTAACGATTCATCTCTTTCGGCACCAAGTTATTTTCAAATTCGTCTGACCTCAACTGATATTTGAGGTCATTGCCAATTGGTTGGTTGATGACACTTTAATGAAAATGTGAATCCTCGATGAGTGATGACCTTGGTCTAAAATAAAGAAAGAAAAAGGATGGTAAGTGCTCTTACTGGGCTGGTGCGGATATGTTTTGTTTTTTTTTTTTATATATATTGATGATTTTGGTAAATTTTCGAGTCCTATTTTTTAAGAAGGATTTTGTGAACCTTTTTTGATTGACCATATTTATTGCTTTTTGGTTATTTTATACCAAAAAAAGATCGAATTTTTTTATAAAAAAAATTACTTGCATAGTAGGGTGATTTAAATAATTGTTATATGCTTGGGATACAACATATAATTGTTCAGATTTTTCTCATATTAGTAAGTGTCAGTGAAATTCGTTTTATTTCTGTGTAAAAATATTCCTTGACTGACTGTGCTAAATATTTTTTGAAGAAATCGAGATTTTCTTTAAAAAAATGTCATTTCTTAAGTTTTGATTCGATAAATCGGTGGCTGCTTCAGTTTTGTGTTGATTTTTACTTGGTTTTTTTTTTTTTAAGAACTTTTTAATCAACGACATCTATTGCGTTCAAAACCAACTACTTTTTCGCAATTTTTTGGATTTTTTGGACTCATAGAATATCTTACACATGAAATCTGATTTCAGTAGAGTAAGATTTTTTTTTTTTTTAACTTTATCATTGTTAGATAACAAACAGAATACTGTTAGTTTTGCATTCTTGCTTGCTTTTGTTTTAATTTCAATTTTCAGGTGAATCGTTGGTTTGCAAATCGACGTCGCAAGCAAATGAAACGTCGAAAGACTGAAGCTGGATCACCTCGATCGCTGTCATCATTGTCATCCTCTGTTGCTACAACAAACAGACATAGTGCATTGACAGAGTTGCTGGAATCGGAACAAGATTCAAATTGGCCATCAAAATCACCACCTGGTTAGTATTAACGGATTTCTTAGCATCCATTTCTTGGTTTTAGAGAAAATTACGAGTTGAATATGAAAATGAATTACATTATCCTCATTCCGCTGTCATGTGTAAAAATAGAATTAGTAGTTTTAGGAAAGGTTTTTTCTAAAAAGAAAATAGGTGAAAGCATATGTAGTACAAAGGATTTTTATTAATTTTCTATTCCGATTTGATCATATTTAGATACTAGGCTCATTTGATTCCTTTAATTATCGCATCAGTATGCTAACATTTTCTGCTAAAAAGTAATGATCATAGTTTTGGTAATAGTAAGATAATTCATTATCTATTTGAATAACGGGAACGCTGCTTATCATTTCTTCCTTTATTAACGTTTTCGGTAAAATATAAATTAAATTCTCTCCAAAAGATATTAAATGTATTCAGTGAAAAAGTTACTAATACACAGATATTAAATGTTGTATTTACAGTAACTTGTACTTTCTGGAAATTTACAGTAATCTTACTTTCTGCTATAGTATGAATGGACCGTGTGAGATGTTAATTTCTAACTATAGCCTTAAAATTTGACAATAAAGATTTTAGAATCGAGATTTTAAGAAGGAAAAGGAAGAGAAAGGGGGAAAAGGAGAAGAAGGAATACTCAGAAAAATCCTAATAGTTTCTTTAAATTTAATACTAGAATCATATTATATTACGCTTAGAAGGGTCTGATTAAAGGAGCATAACTATTATTAATACCGGCTTTTCTCTTCCACTCAATTTGCTTTTCTTGCTGATTGATTCGCAAGCTATATATATATATATATATGAGGAGTTGGTTATCTGCTATGAAGATTCAGCATGATATGAAATTTGCATATTAGCATTTCTTTATATCTTCTATGCACTAGAAGTCATATTGGTACTAATTTCTTTGAGTCATTTGATACTAATCATTCTCCCATATTTCATCACTACTACCATTCTACCGATTAGTTATTTCATTACCATAGCATTTATTATATTGATTATTCAAATTTTGCTCTCATTATTAATGTTGTGCCGTGAATTATTTCGACTACATGACATTTATGTTCATATCACATTTGCATAACTTTTACAAGAAACTTGGAATGACAACGCCAGAGGTATTTCATTTATATCAAAGTATCAGTCACTTTATTTTAAATTAGTGAACGTTAATTTATTATTGCTACTTGATAACTTTCAATTGATGCTTTTTCATGTTATCGAATTTCTAAATTAAGTTAAAAATGAAGCATTCGAATTGTACTGTATTCAGATATGATATAATTATGCTTTATTTTCAGAAATATTATCTATTTAACTTTATCGCGGTATATATAGTTAGAAATAATAAGATTATTGTTCGGATGCGTAAGTTACTCGTTTTAATTGTTGCCAAGAATGATCATTTCCACGCCATTTCGTACAATCTGTTTAATTATTTTCCTTCTTGTTGTTGTTCATTCTTAAAATACATTTGCATGTATATGAGAATAGACTTTCACCCAAAAACAGTCTTCAATAATATATTATATAGTAAGTGAAAAAAATTTGTCTTCCAATTATAACGTACTAAAAAAAAGAAAAGCTATGAAAAATAAACCTTACACATAAGATCATTAAAAAGATACGACAAAGTAAAAGTGTAGTGAAATTGTAAACTCATTTCCGAAATAGATTAAAGTTTCGTATTTTGTTCAAAATCATTATATTCCAACACTATAGACGACTACAGATATCACATTCAATGATGCACATTGCAGTAAAAAACCAATTAAACCAGCAGGGAAGAATAGGACAATTGCATTGAGATTACAGTTGTTGCGCGTTTTTGATTAGGGATGATGAGAGAAGAGTATGAAAGAGTTGAGAATATTCGATGAATGAAGTATGGAAATCATAAATGATGCAAATAAGTAATCGTTTGAAGTGCATGTAGAATAAAAAACAAGTTATTGTCAAATAATCGTAAAGATATTTTAAAAAAAATCTTCTTGACGATTATTCACAAAATGGTTAAATGTTAGCATATGCATGCAAATAAAATGAATTGAGAGCTTAGAGTAAGATTAATGCAATTCTTACAAAAGGATAGAACAGTGTTTGTCATGAGAAGGTTTTTTTT